GTTTAAGCACAGTGGAGACTGTGGGGATGGTACAGGACCACACAAGGTTTAGATCTGTTGTACAACTTATAGTTATACACAGGATTGCTAAGTCAGTCAACCGTGTGGTCTCTAACAACAAAAACAACATTCTTCCTCAATTATGTCAGCTTCTGGAGGTCCACTGTAAAGATTTAGATAACACTTTATCCCAAAACCCTTTATATCTTACATTGGTTAGAATGACAGAAAGTCTTTGGTAATAAATTAGATATTCTGCTCAGACCCAAGAGAAGAAAAAAAAATGTTGGTTTGGAGCAGACTGTTGGAGTGAGCTCCAAGACTGAAGGGACTGTCATTTAGAAAAGCAACTTTTCAAATCCAGCATGAATTTCAGACTCATGTCCAGACTTTAAAATAGAATTAAAGTTCTGGTTTTAGAAGGGTTATTCCTTGCAAAGGGATGTTCATGGTTGGGAAGGTCTTGATCAGCAAAAAACAGTAAGACTCTCAATGAGATGGATTGACACACTGACTGCAGCAATGGGCTCAATTATGTCAGAGACGATGAGGATGGCACAAGACAGCACAGGGCTCCCATCTATTGCTCATAGGGTCGCTATGAGTATTAGTCAACTTGACAGCACTTACCAACAATTTATTTGCACCCCCCCAAGTGTCCATGATTTGAGACTCTGAAATATAGACTGTGCTGTTGTTTCCTAAGCAAATTCTTTGAGATTGATATTAATTCCTAGGTTATCTATTCAGTTCTACAAAGAGCACTGATAGGGTAGCATGTAGTGTGTTTAGGGGTTTATGGAAAGGGCAAGGATTCTGATCCTCCAGCTGCTCTGCAGGAGAAAGATGGGAAATATCCTCCTATGCAATTTATAGCCTCTGAAAGCCTGCTGCAGGGTCAGTTGTGTTAGTTCCAAATAGATAGAACATAACGTGACGGAAGATCACTGGGAGTCTAAATTGATTCAAAAGCAGCTGTGAGTTTATTCAGTTATGTAAGAATTCTGCTGGTGTCGTGGTTGAAGAATTTGGCTGTTAACCAGATTGGCATTTCAACTGCTCCGTGGGAGAAAGAGAAGGCAGTGTGCGGTCACTAAGATTGACAGCGTTGGAGACGCTATGGGCAGTTCTAGGACTAGGGGTCCAGCTATACAGCGGGCATTCAGCTATACAGGGCAAGTCTCGGTGTGTGCATGTATGTGTGTGTGTTTTAACTCATCATCTCGAGTGTCTACTCAAGTGATTGTCAACAACCTTTATTAGGTTCCTGGTAAGGAGAGACAGCTTCTTGCTAAACACAATCACTTAAGGATCCACCTTCTTTTCATGCAGTGTTGACAGAGGGGGTAGGGCCACAGGTCTGTGCCCAGGGACCACTCTGGAGCACATTGTGCTCAGAGCCACAGCCTCACTGGAACCACACAGCCTCTGCGCTCACTGCGGCCCCCACAGTGCCATGGGTGGAGGCATCACTGCTCCTTCTTTGCTGGACCCTGTAGTAAAACCAGATACACATCTCTTTCAGGTCCCCAAACTTACCTTGGGCTTCCATTTTTTTCCTTCTTCCCTGGTGTCCATCCTCAGGTGGTTAGATTTTATCACGTCCTGTCCAAGATCAAACTCTTACAATCCCTGACTCTTGTTCCTGAGTAGAAGGAACCATATTGGTGAAAATGCTACGCCAACGTTCTTCCAAACAAGCAGCCAACTAAAAGTTTGAACTTTGTGACCTCTCTTTACTAAAGCATGAAATCTTAGTTTGAACTTGGAAAGGTTTCAGGGAAACAAAGGAATCATAGGGGTTTGGGGGTGGGGGCAGAAATCACTTACCGATTCACACAACATGAGCTCTGGTAGCCTGTTGTTATGTGCCTTCGAATCTACTGTGACTCATAGCAACCCTATGTCTAACAGCTCTGAATCCTGCTCTATCCTGTGCCAATCTTATTGTCTCTGACCACCTATCCCCATCACCCCAGTCACTGAGTCTATCCATCTCATTGAGGGTCTTCCTCTCCTGCCCTGTCTCTCCACTGTTCCAAGCATAATGTCCCTCTCCAAGGACTGGTTCCTCCTTGCAACATGCCCTAAGTATGTCAGACAAAGCTTCAGAATCCTTGCCTCCAAGGAGCAGCCTGGTCTCACCCTCTGTAGGACGAACCTGTTTGTTCTAGCAGTCCATGATATATTCAACACTCTTCTCCAGCATCACGCCTCAAAGGCATCAATTCTCTATCATCCCTAGTCACTGTCCAGCTTTTTGTGGCATAGCACATAATTGCAAAGATCAGGCACTTACTTAGTCTCCAGACTGACACTGTTGTTCTTTAATACTATGGAGAGGTCCCTGTGAGCAGACTTTCCCAATGCAATTCGTCTTTTGATTGCCTAGTCAGCTCTCTTATCCAAAGGAGAGCCTCTGTAGAGGTTGGAACCCACAACAACTCCCTGAAGAAAGATGGGCAATCTCCTGTGCAATTTACATACAGTCCCTGAAGTCCGCTGAGTCAGCTTCGACTGAACAGCATTGAGTAAGTGAATTCACACAAGGACAGAGTATAAGTTCTAAAAGCCGCTTCAAAGCATTCAGCTGCACATGATGAGCCTGGCAGGAACAGCTGTTGAGCCTTGAGCCAATTACAAAAGTATTATCACCAGTTTAAAACATCAATTTGCAGAAAACGGTCATGCTTCTTTTTCTGAGTTTCACCATCTTCCTTTTAAGGGTACATTATTATATACTTATGTTGTTATGTGCTGTCGAGTCGTCTATGACCCATAGTGACCTTATGTCTGAACCCTTCCCTGTCCTGAGCCAGTTTCACTAATTCTGACACACCAACCTCCATTTGCCCTAGTTACTATATCAATCCATTTCATCCCAGGTCTTCCTCTCCTGCACTGTCCCTCCACCCTTCCTCTTCTGGCCATGTGTCTAAAGTATGGGAGATAGAGCTCTTCAAAACATACCTTTTTTATCCCCCCATGGAGTTCCATGGTATGTTTAAGACCAACTCCAGCACAACTCAGTCATAAATTCTGTCATCCTTAGTCATTGTCCAACTCTCTGATCATAGCAAATAATTGTGAAGACCATGGCCTAGATTAGGTGTATCTTTCACACTGACATGGTTTTTTCAGTACTCTCGAGAGGTCCCCGACAGCAGATTTTCCCAATGTAATTCACTTGGATCCATTTCTACTTGGTAGCATGAAGTTTTTTCCTGTCTCTGATGTTGCTAAGATGCAGATATGAGTTTGTTGTTCGTATCAAAAAGAACCTGTAAGTAGGTAAGTGCACACCCTTTTTTGCTTGACATGAAATGAACTTTTCTATAGAATGCTGGAATAAGTAATTTTTCTTAGATAGTGGTAACTGCAGTAGTTACTGGCTTTTACCCCAAAGAGAAACTAAGGAAAACGATCTCATACAATTAAACAAAAAACTCAAATGAGTCAGAGTCTTCATTTTTTTTCTTCTTCTATGCTTGTTTTTATCAGGTTCCTTAAAATTGTGTTTTGGCATCCTCACTTCCCTGATGTCCTGCCACAGTCTGCCAATCCTGTGCCCACCTGGTTGGTAAGGGACGGAGGCAGGAAGCGCAGTTAGCCAATGCCGTTCTCAGTGATCCTGACTTCAATTCCTGGGAGCGCTGGTGGTGGTGTGGGCTGGAAGCTGTGCCGTTAACCCAAGGGTAAAGCCTCTTGGCAGCTGAAATGCACCAGCAGCTCTTCAGAAGACGGACAATAACCCTCATGCAACTTCCAGCCTCTGAAAATCCTCCAGAGGGCCAGCTGAGTTGGTTCTAATTCAATGATGAGTTTAAGTTATGTTTAACATCAGGCTGCTAAGCAAAAGGTCATTAAGCCCACCAGCTGCTCCAAGGGAGAATGGGCAGTCTCCTCCCTGAGAGATTTACAGCCTCAGAAACCCAATGGTCACTCTGAGTCAGATCTGACTTGACAGCAGAGGGAGTTGCCCCCAGGACCACATTCTCTCCTTTTCCTTCTGGCTTTTAGTCTTTGAGAATTTGCCCCTTTTCCACAAAGGGAATCTCTCTGTAAGTGCAACACTGGGCCCCTAAGACAGATCTTAGAGTTCCTGAGAGGTAGTCTTAAAAAAACAAAACAGAAACCTGGGTGAAATGGAGAAAGAGGAGGGTAGTCAGAGATGGAAATGGCTGCTCCCCTTCCTCATGCTGAAGAGACCAAAGAGATATTAAAAATGTGGGAAACAAGGGGTCATTCAGAACCCAGGAACCTAGGAGACACTTTCATGGGAAAGCGCATTTAACCGCCAGTGAGGGGACTACCTCAATGGCCACACATGTGTGAAGCTGGGGCTCTGAGGATGACCTCAGCCTCATCAGAGCAGAATTCAGAAACATTTATCACATGTCAGCTCTTTACCTAAAAGGATACCTCCCCTTTCTAATAACAGCGGGACAATTCCATGGAAAATCCCAAATGGAACCTTAGAACCCTTGACATTCATGTCTTTTAAATACAGAGCAACAACTTCATCTGTGATCCAAGTGAGGCAAAAGGAAGCTGGGGTTATTTTCCCCACAAGTCTCTCAGCTGTTGTTGAGGGAAAAAACTTAAGTAGGAACTTCCCTAATCACTGGCTGAAGAGACCACATGACACACCTACTTCCGGGGCCAGCTAGAGGGGTCTTCCCTTTTCCCACCTTGCTCCCTCTGGTGAGCAATGACAGTTCTGGAAACCAGGACCCTCTGGGGAGCTGGACTATTACTCTGGAGAAGGTGAAAAGCAACTGATATTCAGGCATTGTTTTAGGGTCACATTAGACAGAGAACAAAAGACACAAGACCACTTTTGGTTTTGATGTCTAAAATTTTATCTCAAGAAAATGAAAATAAAATTGACTCTGATGTGGAGAAATGTGGAATGCAGATCATCTTAAAACAGACAGGCTTGTAGGTACCTAACAAACGTTAGTCATTAATATCTTCTTAAGACCACTGACTAGAAATTAACAAAAGCCCTGAACACGGAATGTAATCAGTATTAAAGGCTGCTAATTTCAAGCCAATGGATTTTCAGAGTATCCTAGTATCTTCAAGGCATTCTCAACAATGCACCTAAGGCTCTCCCACACCAAGTCTATTCAAATAAGCTTCCCAAGCAGCTTTTCTGTACATCTCGGCTGCTTCCAGACGATTAGCCGCTGTCAAAATGCCTCGACCAACAATGATGATATCAGAACCTCGCTTGCCGATAACTTCTTGGGGGCTGTTGTACTGCTGGCCAAGACGGTCTCCTGCAGTGACATAAACGTTACTGTTTAATGTAATACAAAAATCAGAAGACATGTCTTATCTCAAAAAGTAATGTTGCTGCTCGGTGCCGCTGAGTAGACCCTGACTCCTGGTGAGCTGGTGACCAGCACAGGCTTGCCCTATCCCGCACCAGCCTCACAATCTGTCCTGATCAAGCTATGTCAATCCATCTCCTTCAGGGTCTCTGCCTTTGCCTTTCCCAGAATGATGTCTCTCTCCAAGGACTGGTTCCTCTTGAAAATACATCCAAAGGGAGACAAGGTCACCATCCTTGCCTCTAAAGACTACGTACACTGGCTGCAAATGCTTGAAGACAGATTTGTTCAGACAAATTTGAAAAAGTAATCACACTGCTCTAAATAAGACAGTGCTACTGTTTTTACTCCTTCTTCAGCAGAGTGACTGAGTGAAAGGAGGTGGTGAAGGGGCTCTCTAGAAAAACAAGACCCCTACACCTGAAAAAGATGTGCATCAGTACTTGCTAATTCTACAACTCTTGGGAGTCTAACAGTAATAGAAAACAAAGAGGTAAATTTTTTATGCTGCCAGGAAGGGTTTAATATAAAAAAAACCAAAAAACCAACCCTCAAAATAATAAAATAAAATAGAAGAAAATCTTAGAAGTCTTTGCAAGGCATCTAACCTGACCACTAACATAAATGAATGAGCATTCTGCCATCAAGTGGCTGCTGACTGTACAAAACACAAGCCCTTATTTTTAACTTTCCCTATTCTTTTTAAACTCCATGCTCTAGAAACAAAACAAGCAAATGCCTATCACTTTTCAAAAATGAACTGTAGCCCCTAAAATCTCTATTGTAAATCCTAACTTCTAAACTTGTGGTTTTAAGACATTTGGGAATGGGACTGTCCTTGTTATGCTTAATGAGGCAGGATTAGTGTAAGGTGTTCTGAACCAATCTCTTATATGGGATTCCCATTATAGCAGCACTGCATAACTACTAAGACAAAAGCCCAGACCTTGACAGTATTATCTATTCAGAGAACTGTAAGGACTTAAATAGCAACAGTTTAAATTTTTATACACATTTTCCTATTTTTATACAAGTAACAGGTACATGACACATTTTCTGCAAACTCTGCACTACCCTGCACTCAGCTTCCTATGTGTGGGTTGCATGGGCACTGTTATAAGAACATATGGTAGGTAATTTGAATGAGTTACAAAAGAAAACAAAAGATTTCCCAAATGTATATACCTTCTGTGGTATTAGAAACCCCAGTCACTATGTTCTCCTGGATTATCGTTCCCCTATCAGGAGCATGAACTCATTCATCCCTCCCTATGCGATGCATCTTCCATCCCCTCAGCAGCTGCTCATTTGTAGAACATTTATGAGGGTACAGAGAGGGTGTGTAGTTCCTCAGACAGAAAGCTCTTCCTTAAGGAGTTTATGGAGAAGAGTATTCCAGAAAATACACAAGTGCAGTATGTATCTTCTTGGATTAGAAACTATAATAAATCAATAAATGGGTTAAACAATATCGCTCAGCCTTAAGTAGGAAACACTATTAAGAGGCATGAGTAAGTTCAGATATAGAAAAAATATAGAGCTGGAACCTGTTTTGCATATGAAATGCCCCCAAGCTCCTGTGCATGTGGGAGAGTATGCAAAGCCCCAAGTCCCAGGGATGTGACTATTTCTGGAGAAGGAAGCTGGACTCGGGGAAAGAATGCTGTATAGAGGGTCGGGCACAAGCTATGTGAGAAGGAAAAAACCTATTTTGCTCCTAATATTTTAAAAAGCGTGCTAACCTTTTCAATGGTAAAAACAGAAAAATCAGAACTGTCAATCAAGCCTAACAAATTCCACTGAGGGCTAATAAGCATAGCTGTTTTTAAACAGAGAAAGAAAAAGAAATTATTCCTAAATCTTCCCTATTCAAAACCAAAGTGACTTTACTGAGTCCCAAAGGACATTAATATTAATGTATGTGTATACACAGAATAACCCAGATTATTCCTAATACTGAATAAAAGATTATTAATGAAAAAAATGGGCCCTTCTTTTTAGCTACTAGAATATGACCAATAAACAGATTTACCTCCTGCTTCTAACTGAACGCCTGGAGTTAGGTGAAGAAATTCTGGTTTCATGCTTAGTCGAGAGCCAGAAATAAAACCCACCACGAATTCCGAATGCTCCTCAGCCATGTTAATCTAAATGGAATTTAAGAGGACAGATTACAGAGTGGCAGTTAATCACAGAGAATAGTAAACAATTTTAACATGCTCTGAGAGCATCAAAAGACCTCTACTGTGTGCAAGAGAAATCTGAGCGCTTATTTGTAGTGTGTGGAGACCCACCTGTTTTCATAAAAGTTCTGAAGTGAGTGCTTTAGAATCTGCTCTGAATGTACATCCAAGGCTTCCTGCCTAGTACACCATTTAGGGGCAGGAAAAACTAGTTAACTTTTCAAAAGCTAAAAATAAAACTAAAAAGAAACAATCTTTCTGCTCTTCTACCTTCTCCCATCTTCAAATTTGCTGCAGTGTCAAGGGTTTATTGTTCAAAATGGTTTTCTTGTCCACTGATGACTTTGACTTTGCCCTATGGATGCAGGGACTGTGACTAGGCTGTGTCAGCCTGTAATCAAGGGGACTGGCTAGTCTTGCCACTAAACCAAGCAGGTTCCATGGTAGACTATAACAATCTCACCACCAGCAAAGAGGTAGCAAGAACGTAGTGCTATGCAGTGCATGCTCTTCAGGGCCAGCAATTCTTGCACCAGGCAAACCTATAGGGGAGGAGCAGCAGAGAACCCACTACCCAACGCGAGACAGAGCTGACCTTATAGAACCAGAACCAAAGGCCTCTACCTAAGCCTGAGGGGAGAAGCCACAATTGACAGGCCTAAGAAAGCTTTTGTGATACTGTCATAAGGCTGAAGGACCTGTGAATACACATCAGCTTTCCCAATAAACTCTAAAATTGGGAGTATGGTTCTGTGTGGTCTGTGAGCTAGCGCTATGGATCTAAGTCAGTTGTATTGGTGTTAAAATTAGCAGAAATAGGTGAGGGCCTGTGTGGAATATCTCTGACCTCATGGGAATTGGATCTGTGTTGTGGATGCCATCAATGGGGGCTAATTTCTCCTTTGTGGAATCAGGAGGTCAGTTGTGGCTGTCCCCATGTTGCCCTCATTCTTTTTATAAGTGGCCCCCTCAATTTCTATACCATCAACTCACACTGAAAGCTTCTCTGGTTATTTGCTTGGCTTTCTGATTTGGCTCTTTCCTGAACTTCAAATTGTTCCATTCTTACCACCAAATACTTCAAAAAAACCCCAACCAAACCCCTCAAGCTCATTACCAAATCCTAGCTGACCCTCCAGTGGGTTTTTGGAGGTTATAAATCACACAGGTGGAGATTGCCCATCTTTTTTTTTAAGAGCAGCTGGTGGATTAGAATGAAACATTCCCCTTACGTCAGCAGTGCTACTCCCTACCGCCTAGGCCACCAAAGCTCACTGCCACCAAAACAACTACCTACAAGTGGTGTGTGTTCCTGAGTTAAGATAGGTAAAAGTTTTGACTGAATAAATATGTGTGTCTCAGAGTTTCTCTCTTACAGAAATTCACCTACTTTAAGTGTTTGCTTCAAAATAAAATTGCTACTAACTAGGGAATTCTAGCCAATTAGTAGTACTGTCACATAAATAATGGGTAGTTTTTTCTCTTTTCAGGTGATTTCCCAGATCCTGGATTGATATTTCCCTATACTCCCTTCTTTAACAAGAGTCACGGCAGCCCCTGGCCTTCTCTCCCTCAGTCTCAGCCACTCACTGCTGCTTCAGTGTACTTCCCAGTGGCTAAGGAGCCAGCCGAGCTCATTTCTGCAACTAGCAGGCACGCCCGATGCAGAGGCAGGCCCACTTCTCTCAGGCCTTTAACAACTCCTGGTCCCGGCACCACGTGAGCATTGACTAGGTCTGCCCAGGAAGCTATCTTAAAGACACCACCTGAAAAAAGAAAAGACAATTTGTTAATATTCAAACAAGAACAATGATATGTGACCCAATCAACATCTCTGACATGACAGAATAATCTAGGAACACATTAATGAAACAGTCCAACACTTTTAAGGTCTCTTCTTATCACTGAACCTATTCTTCTATCTGGAAAAAAGTTTATCTGTCCATTTGATGACTGGTTTAGAGACTGCAATAGGAAAAAAAAACTTGAAAATTCTGCACTTGGTTTACCAGCAATATTGAGAAGACTGTTTTTCCTTGCAGGTTGAAACCTGTGACCCCGTACAATCATTAACAGATTCTAGTGAAGACACACATTTCCTTTCTGGGAGGTAGGGGGTATCAAAGGCATTAACACACTGAAAATGACAAATTTTATTCTGCAAGGCTTTTTCAATGTTACTGTTTTTCAGAATTACTTCAAATTGTTTCTTCCTTCTTCAAATTCCAAGAGACAACTGCATTCTCTTTGAGAGCCCACTATTTTATCTTCAAGTCAGCTCCAAATCACAGCAGCTCCATGTACAACGGACCAAAACCCAGCGGACCCTGCGCCATCCTCACAATCTCAGCCGTATTCACACAATTGCAGTCACTGCATTAGTCCACCCAGCTGAGTCTTGCTCTCATTCACTGACCCTCCCCCAAACCTGCTGTTTTCTGGGTAACTGGGTGCTCCTGACAATATGTCTTGCTGCAACTCTTCCAAGATAGACTTGTTTGTTCTTTATACAATCTCTATGACATTAAAAACTCTGTTACCACCAAAATTCAAAGGCGTCAATTCCTCTTCTATCTTGTTTATTCATAGTCATCACATGGATGGCGTAGAAGGGGAAGGCCCTCTATGAGGTGTACTGATTCAGTGACTGGGGTAATCAGGATGGGAGTGTCAGAGACAGTGCGATTGGCACAGGACAGAGCAGAGTTTAGGGCTGTTGTACATAGGGTCGCTATGAGTCGTAAACGACTTGACGGCACATAACAACAACAACAACAACATGAAGCAAATGAAAATACAATGGCCTGAGTCATGCATAGTTTAGTCTTTAAACTGCCATTCTTGATCTTTTGCACTTTTAAAAGGTTTTTGGTGGCAGCTGTGTTTGATTTTTCGACTGCTGCTTCCATGGATGCTAACTGTGGAGGCAAATAAGATTAAATCCCTGACAACTTCAACCTCGTCTACTGGCCATGGTATTTGTCTACTGGCCTAGTCATGAGGATTTCTGCTTTAGGCTGAGGTGTAATCACTCTGAAAGCTGTAGTCTCTGATCTTCTTTAGTGCTTCAAGTCCTTTTCACTTTTAGTAAGCCAGGTGTCACCTGCATATTGCAGACTGATGAGTCTTCCTCTAATCCTGATGGCACATGGCTTATCATATAGTCCAGTTTAGTTTCTTGACTAAACAGGAATAGTGAAAAGATACAACTCTTCTAGGAACCCCTTTCCTGATTTTAAACTACACAGGGGGGGACGTTATCTTCTCGTTCTGTTTCAAAACTGATTCATGGACACAAATGTTCTAAGATTTAAAGCAGATAGCAGCAACCTTAATAAATTTTTTAAAAACTATATTCAAAACTGAAGAAACACAGGTTTAACTGTAACACCAGTCAATGAGGACTAACATGATGATTTTTTGGCACTTGGTCAGGGCCTAAAAGTTGGCCTGGAGCTTTAGATCTTTTTTTTTTTAATTATTTTTTGTGTGAGTGTACCGTCAAATCAGATCTGACTGGTACAGGAGGAGATTGTCCCTCCTTCCCCGGCAGAGCATCTGGTGGATTCGAACCATGCACTTCTTGGGATTGTAGTTGCAGCTCCTTACCACTAGGCCACCAGAGCTCCCCTGAAGCTTTAGATCTTTAATGACAAATGTAGGATATCTTAAACACCAGGATTTTACAAACCTATCTTTTAAAAAATACCTTAAAAATAAAAAAAGGACATTATTTCAACAGATACTGTTAAATGTTACCATAATAGAATGTTTACTATAAAAGAAAAATCAAATTATATCTTTAAGTTTATATAGATAAAATCTGTATTTATGCAAAAAGAGACAGAAATTTCTATAAAAGAATGAGCAGCTGAACAAAGAAATTTTTCCCAACCAAGATATGGTCTACCTTGAGTTCTTATTTAACATGAGAAAAAAGTGTATTTTCTTTTGAGCAGGGCAGTTGGATTTAAAACAAAACCTTTTTTCCCTGTTAAACATGTATCTTTTAATTTTACACTATTTTTCCTTGTTTTATCTTACAACATTCAGTACTCCTGGTGTTCTGCTGGGGATCACACTGTGACTTTGGCCTGCCTAGAACATGTCTTTTATTGCGAGCATGCCTGTTTTCTTTAGATCTGTTTTCCGAGATCTCATGTGAGTCTCAGCTTCAGAAATTTTTCTAGTTAATAATGTCACATTTCCAGAGGGAGAGGCATAAACCCCACACCAACTAAGGTATTCTTTTTTTTTAAAAATAAAATTTTACTTCATGATTTTAACAGTTACAAAGAAGTTACAGATTTTTATTCATCCACTGTTGCACATTTCACCCCCTCACCTTCCCTTCTGCCTCCCCCAAATAACTTTTTTTAAAAAATATTCATACATTGTTGCACAATTACCTACCCACCCCACCCCCAGTCCTCACTGCAATAATGTTATCTCTTATTTTGGGCTGTTGTATGTATAGTCAAATATTATTACCAAGGCATTCTAGAGTGAACAGTTTAGGATGAGCACACTCAACACACCCACCTGAGGAGAGTCAACAGAGAAGCAAGCAGAGTTGAGAGGTGGAGGAAAAGAGCGTGCAAAAGACCGCACTGAGCGCCTGGGTCCTTCCAGCCGTACTTCACAGCCTGTTTTGTGGTTGAACTTTCAGTTATGTAAACCAATACATTTTCTTTCTTTAAGCTAGTTTTCTTGATTCCTCCAAATTTGTGAGTAACACACTTACCTTCATATTGCTTTTTCACTGTGTTTCCAATATCGGCAAATTTCCGATCTTCAAATATTAAGAACTCATGGCGTTTGGCCAGAGCTGTCAACTCCTTCATTACATCCAGAGTAAAATCATTCAGAATATCTACGTGAGTCTTGAGCATACAGATGCTGGGCCCTAAAATATTTGCTAGCTTCAACAACTCTCCGGCCTCGGAGACATCAGCAGAAAGACACAGATTGGTCTCCTTCTTCTGCATAAGCTTGAGCAGCTTTGAGGCAACTGGGTGGACTCTGGGCAGCTCGGCACGAGCACCAAAGCTGAGCTCTTTGGGTTCCTTGACAGAAGGGAGAGAACCATTGAGATTAGCAGGCTCAAAAACATTCTCCTGAATAAAACTCTTCACTCGGCTGACCATCTCGGCATCAATTTTTTTCTGCTGCTCGAGAATCTCCAGCATTGTGGACAATGTGCACGTGGCGTGGAGCCGGATCCCATGCGCCTCCAGCATCTCCCTGCCTCCCTGCTCTCTGTCCAGAAGCACTATGGCATCTGTGACCTTCAAGCCCTCCTTCTGTAGAGCTTCAACAGTTTCCAAAACGCTAGATCCACTGGTAACGACATCTTCAATGATCAAACAGGTTTCTCCTGGATTAACAGCTCCTTCTACAAGACGCTTGGTACCTAAAAAAGGGGTTAGGGGGCGGTTTTAATGTGAAAGAAACATGCACTTTTATATATACTAAGTTTGTTCTACATAAACACATTTTATCCATTAGTATGTTTGTTGTTAGGTACTATGGAGTTGACTACCACTCAGAGATCCTATGAATAACAACATATCTGAGCCCTACTCTATCTTATGATCTCATGATCTGTGTCAGCATATGAATATGTAACAAGTATTTATACGCTAACTCAAGATCTATCTTACATTATAAATCCTACATGTATTTATGATGAGTTAGAGGATTTAAATCTATTTTAGAGGACTTTATGATCTTTAGTGTGCCATGATTACTGTTTTGTTTAGTGTCTCTGGATCCCCAAATTATCAAAGTTATGCAAACAAAATATTCATAGCCAAACTAACAAATTGTTTTAGTCTGTTTTATGATCAAATTTTCAAGCACAAGTTTCCTTAAAGGAAGATCACCTAGAAAAAGGAAAGTTCAAGGAAACATCAGCACACCTAAGTACAATCAATGAAATCACTGACTGTGACAACAGGTCAGGTGTGTAAGAGACGGTTAGGCTGGCTCACGATAGGGCAAGGTTCAGTCACTGTTCACAGGATTGCTACAAGCTGTAGTCAACTCAGTGGCACATAACAGTGCCAACATCACTGAAATCATTCATTCTTTTTCTATCCACAAGATCAGCTAAACAACGGCTTTCTGAAGCTATGAATTCAGAAGAAAATATTTAGCAATCATTTAGACTCACTATTACAATTTGATGGATTATATAAGGTAACTATATACTTCTCCATTTTAACCTCTGATGCAGATCAAAATTTTTTCCAGATAATCTACAAGGTGTAAGCTACAGACTCCATACTCATTTTAAAATATCTTTTCTACTACCAAGTATATTTTGTTTTTGAACAGAAACAGAGCTGGTTTTAGAAGAGAACTGTGCCTTCTTTTTGAGTTTTACCACAGATACCATCTTTGACCTCTCCCATTCCTTTTTTCTTAAGCCCTTTCTTCTTGACTTGTCAAAGTATAAGCTATCAGCCTGAATACCAAAAGACCATGAAGATGTATAGATATCATTTTAATTTAGAAACATTTTTAAGACATATAAGAAATCTGCAATTTTTAATTTGTAAGTACATATTTATATAAGATACAAGTTTATCAATACTACATTTTCTTAGCTCAGATAATATAACACTGTTTTTCTCTTGTTAACAGAAAATTTCCAGCAAAAGGAGGTGAAATAGTGTAATAAACACCTGTAACTATAATACCTAATCTCTTAACAATGTATAGCCAATCTTCTCCTCTGAACCCATACTCCCTCTTCCCCATAATTTTTAGAAGCAAATCCCAAATTTCACATGATTAATCACAGAAACTTGAGAAGACACCTTTCAAATACCACTTTTTATGAGAATAGTTTTATTCACACTCTTTGGGAAACTAAGTCCTCTTAGAATGCTGCTGCTGAGAAGACAAGTAAAATGACATGATTTCACAGATATCATATGAAACAGATATACACCCTTTCAAAACGAGGCCTTGACTAAGCACCTGATGCCTGCTGAAAGGTCAGCAGTTTAAATCCAACTACTCTTGGGTGCAGGTTAAAAGCCTGCTTCTGTAGAGGTTACAACCTTGGAAATCCTATGGGATAATTCTACTCTGACCTACAGAGTTGTTATATCAAATCTACAGCAATCTCTCAAAGCATTCCTTTTCAGTGTCTAACAAACACAAACCATTTTTTGTTATTTTGTAATAAACATTGTAATGTTTATTGTTAGTTTGGGTATGACTGCTTCATGGCATTTTTAGGGGCAGGAAAAAAAAGCATAAAATTATTATTTCATTCTAATTCCAGTTAAAATTAATATTCCAGGCATTTTATGATCTTACATCATATTTATGTGATTTATTTTTCCTTATAAAGGAAATCCAGTATCTAACATTTTTGTTCTGTTTCAAATTGTTGTTTATTGCCACTGAGTTGAATGTTAGAGACCCTAGGATATAAGGCCTCAGGCCTTTCTATAATTATTGTAATTTCTCCAAGTTTATAGAGTTTTCAAAGGCATGTGGTTTAGGAAGCGGATGCCAATTCTGCTTCCAAACCTGTCTTAAACTGGGACCAAACACTGCCCACCATGGGTAACCGTTATGGCATTTGACCTCCAATGGCACAAGGTTCAGTATCACAGCAAACCCAGATTACCTCAGTGCAGCAAAATGACAGAGGAGTGCTGTACAACTTAGAAGAATGCTCCTCCAAAGTAAAAGAAAATAACAATAGACCCTTGGGCCCAACCAACTTTTACATAAAAGGGGTGTGTGTGTGTGTGTGTGTGTGTATGTATGTATGTGTGTATATATCTATATCTATATCTATATAGATATATATCTCATAGATTTTCCAGAGGCACGTGGTTTTGGAAGTAGATACCACTCCTATTTCCAAACTTGAATCAATCTGGGAGGTTCACCAAACATTGCCCATGGTGGGTAGCTGTTATGGTGTCTGGCACACCTTATGGCACAGTTGTTCCATTATGGCATTTGAAACACAAATGTCCGAAGATTGAGTGTCACAGCAAAACCAGATTACCTCATCACACCAAACTGGCCAGAGTACTGTATAACTTAGAAGAACGTTCCTCTAATATATAGTAATAAGAAATTAATATATAATCCCTTGGGCCTAAGTTTTAAATATTAGGGTCCCCCAAGAGGTCTTGTTGACTCTAAACAAGAGGCTTAAATAAAAACAACCAAACAATCCACACAGATCCTCACAAGATCGTCAACCAAAACATCACTGTAAGATGGTGTTTCAAATTATACCACCAATGCTATTACTAAGGACAAACTACTATAAACAGTTGGAGATTTTTTTTAGGTTTTGTTTTTTTTTTAATCTCAGGTTAGATATTCTATAGATGTAAAGTCATAGTGATTATTTTAAATACTTCCTTTTGTGTTATTATATTATCAATTGATTATATATAATTGTTTCTTTATGTTTATATTTACTGTCAGGTACAAGAGTGACAATAACTTAAAGGGTCTACACTCAACATTTAAGACAACTTTGTTAAAACACATTGCCAGGAAGAAGGTTGGGTAAAAAAATCTAACAGTATCAACTTAATGCTTATGCTACTTTTAATTTACCATAATCTTTTGTTTCTTTCCTTCTAATAAGCATTGGAATTTGGTTAGTTGAACAGATAACTGTAGCCATTGGCAAAGCTGTGTAAGGCACTCCACACACAGTGTCAAAACTGATCTCAGCATTTTGGGCAGTTTGAAATAAAATCTCTGCAATCTGTAAAAAAAGACAAAAATTAACAAAACTATCATTAAGTGTTTTTTAAGTCCTACACCGATGGGACTACAAATAAGTCTTGTCTTAAATAACTGTTTACAACCACAGAATGAATACATTAGGTTGGACTCAAGGTTTGCTGACTGCAACATGAAATGTATTGGGAAGATCTTGATGATGATTCTAAAGACTAAGGACTTCTCAATTCCCCACCCCCCCCCATTGCTGTTGAGTCAGAACAACTCATATCTGATCCTACAACGGGTTGCAGAGGCTGTAAACTGCATAGAAGGAAACATCCTATCTTTCTCCCAAGAAGCAGCTGATGGATTCAAACTGGAGGGTTGGATGCACAAGTTTCCCACAGCAACTCACTGTATTTTGCATGAACCTATCTATACTAGTTTTGCTTTCTGCTGAAAGTCTTCAGTTAAGATGTTTCACAAGAACAAACTGTACTGTGTCAAGTATTAACTTCAGTAAAGATTTTCAACCTTGAAAACAATTTGGGGTAGTTCTAGTCTGTCTTTTCAGGTTGGTAAGAGTAGGACCTGATGATGGCAGGGGGTTTTGACTTTTTTACCCCTCAGTTTACAAGAAGAAAAACAAACTATCAGAGCTGATTCATGAACTCCACCCATTCAATGCCTCTGAGGCAATTCTGACTCTAAGACCCTACAGGATCCTATAGAGTAGAATTGCTCCACAGTTTCCAAGGGTGGAACCTTTACAGAAGGATACAGCTACAACCACGGATGGCTTGTGGGTTTCAATCATCAACCTTTTGGTTAGAAGCCAAGCATTCTACCACTTTGGCACTGAGACTTCTTGATGGACTAAATTACTCACTCACTGCCATTCTGTTAAGTTCTGATAACAAAGCTCCATCAGCTTTTCAAGAACTGTATATCTCAATGGCAAAACATTGCCCATCTGTCTCCCATTATGCAACCAGTGGATTTGAACTACTTAAGACACACAGCCTTTGAGTTAGCATTGTTCACCAGAGACCTCTCTCGATCTACACTAGACAAGGGCTCTTCAAACCTTTTTTCCTGTACTTTCAAAATTTTACAAATCCAGCTCTGTTAGCCTAGTGTTAAGGAGCTGCACGACCCAACCTAAAAGTTTACAATCCACCAACTGCTGGGTGGGAGATGGACAATACCTTCTCAAGTGATTTACAGCCTCTGAAAACCCACAGAAGGGTCAGCTCAGCTCTAAGCCTAAATATACCCACTGTTTTTAAATGGCAAAGTGTAAACATGAATATTTTTCTAAGTCGTAAAAAAGTAGCTTCTAGAGTACTGAAAACATCAACATATATTCTCCTAGTACTGTTACAGGGATAGCTAACTACCATCCATTCAGACTGACTCATGGTGACCTTATTTACAATAGAAAGTGGTCCAGCATTATTCTCACTTCACCAACTACAGCTCTGTGCCGACCCATCTCACCCAAGTTCTCCTACACCTTCACTGGTCTCCTACACCCTAACTGGTATTTCATATACACAACATTTGCTTCCTCCTCATGTCATAACCAGAGCAGTTGAGGTAGACCGTGTGATTTTCAAGTTTTCAATGGCTAATTCTCAGAAGTAGATCCTCCCTTCATCTCTTTGTAGTCTAGAACCCCCACCGAAAGAGGTCCGCTTTCAGTTCCGTGGTTGCTGGTATGTAAAATATTAGTTGCAGGTTCCAACACAATTATCACAAGCCACAACAAACTGCGACAGTAAGCAATGGATATATAATGCTTTAAATAAATACAACGGAATTCAAACTCTATAATTATGTGATTCATGAAAACAAAATGATGTAATGCTGGACTAGAAACGTCAGAAACTGCATTTCCTATACTCTAGGAAAGCACATGTCCAAGAGGATCCGGTAAAAACACAGGTCACTCTCTAGGTCCCCAAAAGTAAAAATTTCCCCTGGTCTCTGTACTTCTGAAACACACTCCCCCGGCTGACATTCGGGTCTCCCTGTCCGCTTGGCCCTTTTGTTGTCACTCACAGCCCAATGCCTATGACACCCTCGCCACCTCAACCTCCAGTCCCCTTCCCCCGGCTGGCACCTGACTCAGAAGGCGTGGCCGAGAAACGATGCCCCGCAGATCGATGTAGACGGGGGAGGAGAGTCCGCTTTTCAGCTTGAAATTCCCAAACTTGAAAGCCTGCACGTCGTACAGCTCCGCCACTAATGGCCCCAAAGAGACAACGGAGGACACCATGATGCCCGGCTCTCAACCCGCTACAAGCTTGGGCGCGCGCCTAGTGGCCGGCGCACATATGACGTCACCCGGAAGTCCCGCCTCCACCTCGCCGCTATTGGCGACTTCTGCAGACTCGCTGGCTCTCGGTGCGCGTGGCTCGCTCGTGGAGAAAGCTGACAGTAAACTGGCTTAGTGTATGCTGGTTTTCATTGAGTAGGACTGCTGGAATTTAAGGCTCCGGCGATTTAGATTGATCATGAAGTCTAACCTCTCCAGATAGTATGTATAAATCCTGATCAGTTTTATCTCGACTAGTAAGAAGCTGAAGGCACGCGGTTTGAATCCGCCGGCTGGTCGTCTTCTCCAGGTTCAGTTAACTGGTCCTCTGAAAACCTGCTGGAGAGTCAGCTATGGGTCAGCTGGGTCGGTTCCAACTCGAAAACACACAACAACAACAACTGTTCTCTTCTATCTAATCAACTTCCTCTTGAATGTTATTGCTGGTATGTGCCATCGAGTCGCCTGTAAGTCATAGCGCAACCCTATCCTGAGCCAGTCTTACTGACTCCAACACACCTACCCCCATTGCCCTAGTTACTGTATCAGTCCTTCTCATCTGGCGTCTTTCCTGTGTCCCTCCATCTTTCCAAGCATGATGTCATTCTCCAAGGACTGGTTCTTCCTGGCCACGTGCCCAAAGTAAGTGAGACGGAGCCTCAAAATCCTAGCCCCCAAGGAGAAACCTGGTTTCGCCGTCTCCAAGACAGACCTGTAAGTTTTCTTGGCGGGCAATGGCATGTTTAAGATCCTCAGTCATTGTCCAGTTCTCTGATGCATAGCAAGTAATTGCAAAGATCATGGCCTGGATCAGGCTCACTTTGGTTTGTAGACTGACATCGTTTCTTCTCAGTACTCTGGAGAGGTCCCTGATTGCACATTTTCCCAGAGCAATGAATAGTTCTCTTAATTATCATTATTCATTGGCTTTCCTTTTTTTATTTTATTTTATTATGTGTGTACCGTCAAATCGTATCTGACTGGTACAGGAGGAGATTGCCCCTCCTTCTCCAGCAGAGCATCTGGTGGATTTGAAGATTCATTGGCTTTCTTAGTTGCTGTCCATTCCATTCCTACCTGGCATGTGCAGAATAAAACTCCGTAGGTAGGCGTCCTAAGATAGACATCCTAAATAAAGTTGGTTCAAAGTATACATCGGCCTAACATAGAGTTAGTTATTGGCCATTGCTTTTCCAAACAGTGTAAATCTTTGCCCATTCTTTTATTAATGTTGTAGTGTCTGGCACACAAGACTGTTTACACACCTAACAGGTGCATGAATCCTGTAGGCACTATGCCTGGAATCCCTGGAGTAAGACTTGTGTTTATTTCTGTTAGGGTATCTCAAGTGTTTTCTGCATAAGAAGTGTACTGAAAAGGGAATGGAGGAGGATGAAATTATGCTATCAAGGTATTCTTTCTAGCCAATTTGATAATGAAAGCCTATCTGGTCTTTGCAAATCATACACAATTCATTGGTACCAGTTGGAATGGACTCACAGCTGATCCTCTAGCAGGTTTTCAGAGGCAGTAGATCACTTGGGAAGAGATTCTCCATCTTTCTGTAGCATAGCAGGAGAGATTTAAACCACTTGACTTTGGGTTGACAGCACAGCTCCTTATCCACTAGGCCACCAGAGTTCCCATTCATTAGAGGAATTTTTCATTCTGTCTAGAAGATAATACTTTGATCTACATAATCCTAATTCAGACAATAGATTTTGATTATTATTATTCTGATTAATTTTCTTTGAGGACTGGGCTGACTAGCCAATATTAAGGGTTCATGTGTTTGTCAGTTTCTCATTCAAAATACGGATGAAATAGAAGTCAATTGTTGAAGCATTTATGTAAGTATTGGCAAAATGACTTCATTTAAAACAACTTACTGTTTGTAGCATATCAGTTAATTGGCAGTGTATCCAGCCTGTTTATGTCTGTTGCTATGTGCCATGGAGACAGAACTGACTCATGGCCGACTCTCCGGTGGGTTTTTCAAAGGCTGTTCTGTACTACTAAAGTGCAAACGATGGTGCATAAACTTATGAGATCCAGCCCCAACGACTTAACAACATACCACATGAAGCATGCGGATGAAGTCAACAACATACTCGATGTCTTCAGCATTTTTGGATAGAAAATGCCTACCTCAGAGTACACCTCCAGGGTACAATTTATTGCCTGCTTCTTGAAATGCTGGGTAAAAGATTTTAAATAGTGTGTTATTTTCAGTTTCAATATATTTGAGGGAGGAAAGGAAAAAAATATACTATTCTTTGACAAAGATTTTAATTAGGAAGGAAAAAAGTAACAACAAGAAATAGTATCTTGAGTGTAGTATATTTATAGGGATGCATAACATGTGAGATGTACATTTTGAAGCTTCATCCATAACTTATAACATTTACTGTAAGAATAACAAGACAGCAGGTCATCACTTTTCAACATTACACATGTGTGACTTTGACTTACAAATAAAATATTTACAATCTACCTTTACAAAACGACATTGTATGCATACAAAATGAACAACAAAAAAATTAAAAAAATAATAATAAAACAACCAAAAACCCAGAAGACACACTTAAGGCAGACCAGCAAGACACTGAAATAATTAAGGCTGTGGAATTCTTCTGCACCTTGAAAATATAGAGCTATTTATCAATACTGTGGAGTAGTTTTAAATAGATTGTTACAAGCCTGATGGATGTGTGTGTGTATATGTATATGTGTAATGGTCCCTATGGGGAAACCTGTCCACTTATGGATAAGGAGGCCCTTTGCCTGTATGACCAGGGAAGCACCCCCAAACTCTCAAGGCTTTGGGGGGGGGTCACTCAAAACCAACAGATGGCAAGATAGTTTTCAAACCAACTCATGATAATTCGAATATAAAGATACTTCTGACTTTAGGTAAATGGAATTAACTAACCGTTAGCCTTATTACAATGTTTCACATTTTATTGCTTGGCTTTGTGTACTTCAAAAGACAGCAAATTTGTTCCTAAAAGGTAGAACTTAAATCCCCATGGTTTTGAATGGCCCTAAATGGTTTTCTACTTGAAAAAGTGACCCATCTCAGCTGTCTGCAAATGGATAGATTTCTGCATATGAGCAATAACATATACATACATATTATACATTATATACATGTACAGATGTACACATATCCATATTTGCCAACAGTTTGGACTTCGACCACAACTGTTCTCTGAAAAGGATCTCCTTCTAAAGAACAGGTTTCATTTATTCACAGTCTCAATGTTTGTTCCCCTGCTTTTATTCACCTTCCCCACAGAGTAGGCTGAAGTTTGGCAGAAACAGAAGCAAAAGCACCAGGGTAAAAAAAAAAAACACATTAAAAATCAAATACAGAGATGAAAGATATGGCTTCAGTTAGTAAGAGAAGATGTTTGTTTCATCACCTTCAAATCCATAAGCACAGTCTCTGAGGTCAGGGTATCTGTTCCCACAATATTCCAGAATTAATTCAGTTCCTGACTGACACAAGTCAGGCACAGATGGAATTAGCTATTCCTGGGCTAGGGAATTAGTTTGGTTATATTAATCCTCGGGCATTGGGATTCCAGGACTTGTCATTTGCACTTTTACACCATCCTTCCTTTTCCCAGCTATCTTCACTATCCCAAACGATGGTTTTCCAGCCAACCCAAAAGGATAACCTGGGCCACTGGAATAAAAACCAAGTTCATCCAATGCCGTTTTGGAATCTCCCAGCAAACAGGCTGACAACATTTCCAGTTTTCTCTAGATGTCCCTTGAAAGTGAAAAATTGTCTTACAGAGACATTATCCTCTCCCCTAACGTCTACATGTATTGAAAATGGGGAAGAAATGCCTTTTGTAGGCAATATGGCCATAGGCTATTTCTGTGTTGTACTATTTCTGTAAATGTCGTAGCACAGATTTCTGTCTCCTGTAATCCTTTAGAATTAATGACAGCACTGAGAGTCATAGAGCTTTAAGAAATAACCTGCGAGCTTCCCTTTTGTGTGGTGAATAATATGTGAATTCTATTTTAAAACCCCTCTCCCCCATATTTTAACCATTTGTGTCCAAAAGATCCCTAGATTTTAAAGAATTAAGAACATTTATAATGCAGCGTTTACAGCTAAATCCACTAGAAGCTTACATACAGTGTTAGTCTAATCCGGACTCCACAGAGACACGCAGGGGAGAATGGAATGAGCACCACCTTCCTCATCAGGGGACCAGGGGAATTCGCTTGCCACCCTGAATAACAAACTGGGGAGCCTGAACTTTTGCCCAACCACAGAGACATCTTATGTTCAAAATATTTCCTCTTATTAAATTCATGGGACAAAGTTTATTATTAATACACAGAAATAACCACCATTTAATTGATAACATGTTTGCTCCCTCATAGTCTCAAAAACCAGAATTACCATGCTCTGCCAAATAGGTAAGAACAAAAAGTAATGACTAAATAAGCCATGGACACCAAGTCCCTGAGGCTATGCGAGAGCAAATATGCTGTTTCTGAAAGGCCTAACTGCTTCCTTCAAAAATCAACAGTTCAACCCATTTTGCATTTAATTTGCCTCTTAATAAGTGATGGCTGTGAGATGCTTAAAAAAGAAAAGAAAAGAAAAAGAAACTATGGTACCAGAAGATATTTTACCCCCACAGTAAGGAAATTTACTATTTAGCATCTATCAAGTTTTTTGAGGCTTAAAACCCAAGCATACAGAGTAGTGCTTTAGTGGAGGTCATCTTACTTTTCAGCCTGCCATACAGAATACTGGGGAAAATTCCATGACTTCACCATCTCTCCTAACCCTTTTCTGTAGATAAGCTTTTAAATGATCAAAATTACAAGCTAAGACCAAATAACAGACAACTAGTACCTCGTACCACCAATTAAAAGCCATTTACAGGATTTACATCTCATGAGTTTGCAAATGGTATCTAAAGATGTGA